GATCTGCCATTTAATTGCATTAATTACATATAAAAGTATTTATGTCCAAAGTTGATTGGACCTAGGGCATAATACTTACAGGAACGACAAGGAAAGCAAGAGTACTATCATTGACAAAGAATAGGGGAAGAACAAACACAAAATCAACCAGTAAGAAACAGAAAGGAAGAAGAAGAAGTTATGCAAAGAGAGAAATCAAATAATGAGAGTGAAGTGAGAGAAATGGCTAGAGTTCCCTGACCCACAATCAGGGACAGATCCAGGATTGAAGTCAAGATTAGGCTAAAAAATTTTAAACCAGGCTAACACGGGAAAAAAAAATTTACAAATAAAAAACTAATTTTTTTATTTAAAAAAAAAACACTAAAATATGCCCTTAAAAAAATTTCTTGCCCCCCCCCCCCCGGAAATCTGTCCCTACCCACAACCATTGATAAAGTCCAATTTATCGGTCACGATAAATCCTCGAGTATAGAATAAGTCATTTTATCGACGAATTTAACTATTGTTACACCTCAAAATGACACTACTTACTTTGGCCATGTCAAAAATCAATTTTGGTGTGAAATGATCGGACATTATAAACTCTTCAATTTTGGTCCAAATGCCTTGAAGTCCAATAAAGATACATCATTGCCTTAAGGTTGCAATAGCCCAAAATCCTTGTTGTATTGGTACTTATCATTGTAATTATTGTGGTTTAAATCCAAAACAATGTTTAGCTGGTAACCACAGTTCATAACTTACTGCCTTCAGCAATTAGCTACAGAAATTTCAGTTACTAAAGAATGCATATAAAAACATACTAAACTGTTCTTCAAGAATTTATCCTTCGAAATCACACATTGCCTTGTTCTTTAGGGAAGATTATTTTCCTTCTCATAACTGAAATTTGCTCAAGAGTTAATCCAAAAGCCTTTTCCAGAAGCTCATCATTGATTCCAGAACCAAAAATAACATTTGGGATTCTGTGGGTTCCAGGATTTTGGCTGTTAAAACTTCCAAAAATTGTTGCAGAAGATTTTCCAACATTCATCTGGAAATGCACCAGACCTCTAGGAAACACCATTACCTCTCCTTGTTCAATAATTTTGGCAAAAACCTTGTTGGTCGAATCCACAAAACCGGAATAAACTTTTCCTTGCACCACGTATGCGATTTCTGTGGCTCTCGGGTGGAAATGCGGAGCATTAATGCCTCCAACCTGTCGAAGACAATATATAAATAGTTTAAGAATTTAGAGTAGATCATTTAGTGTGACAAGCAAAAAGCTTTGATTCAAGTCTTGTGGTCACGTTTTTATAAAAGTTGTGCATATATCAAATATTCAATTATAAAAAATAATTATGCAAGCACGGAGACATGTTGGAAATAAAATTTAACCTTGAGATCTGCGCGTACAAATGACATGCCGAGCGTGTTGAGTCCTGGAAATACTGTAGGAGTCACAGATATGGCTGAAAGGCCTGTGTTTGAGAAATTTCCAGGTGATTTTATGCCTGAAAATACGAATTCTTCTGGACTAACTTCCTTGGGATTTTTGCATGTTTCGAGGTTAAATCTGGATGTTCTTGTGGAACCCAATTCTGTGTTGGGAATGCAAAAATCTTGAACAGGATCTGGATCCGAGGCTGAGGTTGTTAGAATATGGAGGGATAAGATTGATAAGAAAAAAGCAAGTTTTGGATACATTTTCTTGCCTTTCTTTGGCATTTGAATTAGACTTAGTGGAAGGATTTATAGCAAGTCTGGTAACTATTACTTAATTAAACTAAATAGTAGAATATATCACTTTTCTTAATCAATATTATTGAGTGCTATATAATCAAAATCTAACCGAATGAGTCATAAGTGCACAATAATAAGAAAGAACAAATGTCGTGTGTGGGGTGCTTGCTATTGAACTTAAAAACAGGTCTAACTTTCTCGTTCTCATTTTCGGTTAAATCAATTTTGTTTCTTGCTTATTCGAGTACTAGACTTAGCCAACACATTTTGAACTCAAAATTTATGTAAATAAATGTTTTTCCGTTAATAATTATAGAAAAAAAAGATTCAACTTGATATTAAGAGTGAAATAGATCAAGTCTTGTTGAAATTCTTTTTACAATTTAAATTTCTAAACTAAGTATTCAATTTCAAATTCTCATTGATTATTATGTCATATTCCACAAGTTTTACCTTTTTCTTGTAGTGGTGGGGTTTGGATGCATATTAATCTTTGCACAAGACACGCTTTGTCCAAACGATAATTTGATTGTCATAAATCAGACCAAGAATATCATTATAGCTAATAATTTTTTCTAGACTTTATTTGGTAAAAATCGACACATGTGCGGCTCAAAATTATGATTTCTCAATTATTTTATTCTTGATATATAACAATTTGACGTAAAAGTTAAAGCAAGAAATTCCATGTCTTTTGTTTTGGCTAAAAGAGATTTAAGAATATATTATAAATAAATTGAAGTCCATGTTTGGTGTAAATTAAAAAATTGATAAAAAAATTTAAGTTAAAATCAACCATTAATTTTAGTCGCACGTCTTATGAGACTCTCAATTTCAACTTTTCAACCTTACACTGCATCAATTTTTTTAACATGTATTATAAAAATTTGATTTTTAGCTATACGGGATAAATCTTTTACTGCTACTGTTGCTTATAAATTAAGAAATGGTGATTGATGATTCACTGCCAATTCTATTGATCACGTGAAAGGAAATTGTAAAATGTATAGTGAAAAATGTCAACATTGGTCCTTAATAGTGTATTTTAGTTGTAATGAAATTTTCAATCGCAGACATTATTCAATTTTTTGTTATATTATCACGTGCCCTTATAAATTTATCACTTTAAATTTTGGGCACCAACTATAGCTATAAAGTAAAATTTAATTTTATAAAGTTGAACGTGTAAAGATTACATGAAAATTTAAAATTTGAGTGATGCTATACGTATATTAGGATGTTCATAACGGTGTCTAACTACTCATATGGAGAGGGATCCACTTTAAATAAAATAAAATATATTTGAAGTGGGTTCCCCTTCATATTGGGTGAACACCACATTATGGACAAGCATGGGCATACTCAAGGAGGATCCCGGGAAAATTTGATTTTAACCTCCACGAAATAGGGGCAAAATCATAATAAATTTGATTTTTTTTCCTCTTTTCTCTTACGCTATCTTACATTTTCCCTTACAACTTTTATCAAAACTTTAACCCTTCTAATTTTTCTTCAAATTATATCATCCACTACAAATTTTCACTTGTTATAAAATGAGAGGAAAATAGAATAAAGAAAACTCAAAGAGAATAGAGAAAATTCAATAAATTTTTATGTGTATTATTGAAAACCAAAGCCCTATATTTATAGGTAAGAATCAGGGATACAATGTTAATAATTTCTAGGGCTACAGGGGTACAAATGTCATTCACCAATAAACTTTAATGGACTTTCAATTTACAACTCTCCCCCTTGAATGACATATTACAAAATATCTGTTTCGTTAAAATATTGTTTGATAAAAACCCAATGGGAAAAAAATCAAACGAAGGAAAAAGAGTGCAGTTATTTTGGAGTATTAAAATTAAATGTTGCCTCTTTAAAACCTTGCTAGGAAAAGCCAATGGGACAAAACCTAAGCGAAGAAAAAAGAGTACAGCTACTCCCCCTGATGTTGATCACTGAAAATCTTCGAGTCGACGTATTCCAATCTCATGAACTAATTTCTTAAATGTAGATGTTGGCAGCCATTTTGTGAATAGATCAGCTACATTGTCACTTGAGCGAATTTGTTGAATATCAATGTCACCATTCTTCTGAAATTCATGTGTATGAAAGAATTTTGGAGAAATATGCTTCGTCCTATCGCCTTTGATACAGTCTCTCTTGAGTTGTGCGATACAAGCTATATTATTTTCAAACAAAATTGTTGGACTATCTTTTATTGAAGTCAATCCACATGATGATTAGATATGATGGGTCATATTCCTCAACCATACACATTCTCGCCCTGCTTCATGGATTGCAATAATCTCAAAATTATTTGAGGATGTTGTTGTCAAGGATTGTTTCACAGATCTCCATGATATAATTGTTCCTCCACGTGTAAACACATATCCTGTTTGTGATTTAACTTTATGTGGATCGGGGAGATAACATGCATCTGCATATCCCACTAAAGCAGATCCTGAATTTTGAGAATAAAACAGTCCCATATCAATAGTACCTTTTAGGTAACGAAAAATATGTTTAACACCATTCAAATGCCTTTGAGTTGGTGTAAAGCTATATCTTGCAAGGAGATTTACAGAAAAAACTATGTCAGGCCGAGTGCAATTTGCAAGATAAATTAATGCTCCAATTGCACTAAGGTATGGTACTTCAGGACCAAGAATCTTTTCTTCATCTTCAAGTGGACGAAATGGATCTTTTTTCATATCAAGTGATCGAACAACCAGAGGTGATGGCAATGGATGTGCACGATCCATATAAAAGTGTTTCAAGACTTTTTCTGTATAAGTAGATTGATGAACAAATAATCCCTCTGGAAAATGTTCAATTTGTAAACCAAGACAAAATTTGGTTTTCCCCAAATCTTTCATCTCAAATTCATTTATCAAATAATCTGCAGTTTTGTTGAGCTCTTCAGGAGTTCCAATTAAATTTAAATCATCAGCATAAACTGTCACAATTGCAAATCCAATATTTGTTTTCTTTATAAAAACACATGGGCAGATATCGTCATTTTTATAACCCTCTTTTAACAAATATTCGCTAAGGCGATTATACCACATGCGTCCGGATTATTTCAATCCATATAATGATTTTTGCAATTTAATTGAGAACATAGTTCTCGGACATGTATCATTATTCCTGGCATCTTAAATCCTTCAGGGACTTTCATATATATGTCATCGTCAAGTGAACCATATAGGTAGGCAGTTACTACATCCATAAGGCGCATATCGAGTCCTTGTGACACGGTCAAACTAATTAAGAACCTAAAAGTGATGGTATCCATTACAGGAGAATATGTTTCCTCATAATCAATTCCCGATCTTTGGGAGAAACCTTGAGCCACTAGTCGGGCTTTGTATATTGTAATTTCATTATTCTCATTTCTCTTTCGTACAAAAACCCATTTGTATCCAATAGGGATTACATTTTCAGGTGTTCGAACTACTAGTCCAAACACTTTTCATTTCTCCAAAGAATTCAATTCTGCCTATATGGCTTCTTTTCATTTTGGCCAATCATTTCTATTTCGACAGTCATTAACAGACTATGGTTCAGGATCCTCATTTTGCATAATATCAAGAGCCATGTTAAAGGCGAAATTATTGTCTATAGCAATATTATTCCGCTCCCATAATTTATGAGATACCATTTAACTTATTGAGATCTCATTATTTTCGAACACCTCTGGTTCTTCAGGAACCGTACATTTAATATTTGATTGATCAATCTTTTTTAATGTGATTTCTTCTGAAATTTTTGGTTGGTTTTTCTTCTGTACTCTTCTTTTTCGAAGTACAGAGTCTTTTGAACCAACTGGTCGACCACGCTTTTGGCGTATTTGAGATTCATTTGCCACAGCAGATTGTCCTGCAGGGACATTAGTTTTTTCTGGAATATTTTCTGCTGGAATATATGACTTTGTCACTTTTCTCGTGTCAACAAATACATCAGGTAGTTGAATTGCAACTCTTTGTAAATGAATGATTTTTTCAACCTCTTGTTCACATTGATTGCTGCGGGGATTAAAGTGAAATAGAGTTGTCTCATTCGAAGAAATTCTATCTTGTTTTTCAGGATGTAGTTTTTCTCCTCCCAAAGTTGGGAAAGTCATTTCATCAAAATGACAATATGCAAAACGTGCAATAAATAAGTCACCCGTTAAAGTTCAAAATATCTAATAATAGATGGTGAATCAAAACCCACATAAATCCCAAGTTTTCGTTGGGGACCCATTTTAGTACGTTGTGGGGGGTGAAATAGGAACTTGGACAGCACAACCAAAAATCCGTAGGTGAGAAATATCAGGTTCATGACCAAATGCAAGTTGCGAAGGTGAATATTGATGATAGACAATTGGTCTTATACGAACCAATGATGCAGCATGTAATATGGCATGACCCCAAACAGAAGTTGGAAGTTTTGTTTTCATAAGTAATGGTCTAGCAATAAGTTGTAGACGTTTAATAAACGATTCCGCTAAACTATTTTGTGTATGAACATGTGCAACTGAATGTTCAATTTCAATCACAATTGACATACAATAATTATCAAATGCTTGTGATCTAAATTCACCAGCATTGTCAAGACGAATAGTCTTGATTGAGTAATCGGGGAATTGTGCTCGCAATTTTATGATTTGAACAAGTAGTCTAACAAATGCTACATTCCTAGTTGAAAGTAGACAAACATGTGACCATCTTGTAAAAAAATCAATTAATACCATAAAGTAACGAAATGGTCCACATGGTGGGTGTATTGGCCCACATATATCTCCATGTTTTCTTTTCAAGAAAGTTGGAGATTCAATATTGACCTTTGTAGTTGAAGGTCTAATGACTAACTTACCTTGCGAACAAGCTACATATGGATAATCATCAGATGAAAGAATCTTCTAATTCTTTAAAGGATGTTCATGTGAGTTGTTTATTATTCGACGCATCATTATGGCTCCTGGATGTTCAAATCGATCATGCTAAATTATAAAACTTTTTGAATCAACGAACTTCTGGTTCGTAACATTATTTGATTCAACCATTTTTATAAATGTAAAATATATGCCAAACGGGAGTGCATGAAAATTTTCTTTTATCTGCTTCTTGTCAGATACAAAAGAAGTGATGCAAAGATATTCAACATTATTTTCTTGCATCGTCTCAATGTTATATTCATTGCAGTGAATATCTTTAAAACTAAGCAAACTTCTTCTGGATTTGTTAGAATAAAGTGCATCGTCAATATATAATTTTGTATTATTTGGTAAAATAATACAAGCTCTTCCGGAGCCTTCAACGAATGTGTTAACATTATTTTCAGCTAATATTAAGTTCAAAAAATATTTTTTGTCTTGAAAAATAGTATGTGTAGTTGCACTATCAATTAAGCAGCTGTCTCGACTATCCATCATGAATCTATAAATATAACAAAATAAACAAATCTATAATATGTTATTCGAAACATATGCTACTTTTGGAGCACATTATATTTTGCTATTATTTCTTCAAATGCAATATGTCAATATTCTTCTGAAATATTGAGAGTTATAATTTATGCTATTCAAGAGCAAATAATATTCTTATAATGTTGTGCTACTTCTGGAGCAGCAACGAATAGATCTATGATTAATATTCTTCTGAAATATTAATTATAATGTTGTGATATTTCAGGAGCAACAACAATTAAAAATAAACTTAATGTAATGTTTCATAACTAAATATAAAAAAATGATAATACATCCAATTGCTCACCATTAATTAATATACAAATACATGTAAAATATTATTTTGAATTAATAACGTGAGTCGAGTGAAACACAAAAAAAAATTGGTGACATGTAGAAACCTATTCACATATTATGGCACACAATTCTAATTATGTGCAATTAAAAGAATTGAATTAGTATTAACCAATTAAGGCATGGAATTTGCAGAAACCAATGAATTTGAGAGAAAAGATGAGTTGTGTACAGTTATATATATGGAATCAGCCAAAACAGAGATCTGGAATTGAAGCTTGCTTACAAAAAACATTGACCAGTTAAATCAAAAAAAATTATATGTGTAGAACGTAAATGGCTAATCTAAATATAAGGAGGGTATAGGAATATGAATTAATGCATATCAATTGATTTAACATAAATATATCTCCATAAAAATGCACGTGGATTGATGTAAAGGAAAAAACATTAATTAATTCAAAGAGAGGTACAAAGAAAACATAATGATCGAGAAAGATGAGATCACGTATTGCAGATTCAACATATGTATATGTAAAATTCACGTATTATCAAATTAATTTTGATATAGTGATAGATGACTATGAAAAAAAATTACTAACTTCTAAGAGTTTCGTGCGGATAACGTGTTATAAAATGAGAGGAAAAGAGAATAGAGAAAACTTAATAAACTTTTGTGTGTATTATTGAAAACCAAAGCCCTATATTTATAGGTAAGAATCAGGGATACAATGATACTAATTTCTAGGGCTACAGGGATACAAATGTCATTCACCAATAAACTTTAATGGACTTTCAATTTACAACATCACTTTATAATTAAATTTTCAATTAATTAGACCTAAATTTGCATTTTCTCCTATCCTATTTGTGTACATAGAATGTGTTTAAGCTGATTATATCCAATTTAACTTATATTTAACGAATTGTATTTATTTGATTGAATATTGGTTATATGTTCTTCCTTTAGATCACTCGAATTGATTGTTTATATTAAATATACTATAAATTTTTTAAACATAAATATATATTTTCTTGTGATGAGCAAAATATTAATAAAATAACCGCTTGAAATCAAATGAATGAAAATGATGAGTAAAATATTAATGAATAATTTTTTTTAAATGTAAATTTTCATTTTCTCGGATCGAGTATAAATCATTAAAAAATTAAGAACAAAGTATTCAATTTGTACATAGTTTGAATGTGCTCCTAACTAAAAATCCCTCCGTCTGCCCCCGTGGACAAGTAGCATATTCTTTAAAATTTTGTCATTGAAAACTAATTGTCTATTATATTAAAAGGTTAAAAATCAACTTGTTTATTTTCAAAGATTACGGATTACCGTGTTACTTGAACAACAGAATGAGTACCAATTGTGCAATTTTAAGAGCTTGCATGTGGATTCATCGGATGATAGCAACAGAATATAAAATTATAATGTCAAACATTTGAGCGTCTAGTAGAGATTGTGAGTGAGGGTAGACAACTAGAAACTCGATTAGATATTAAGACTCAAAAAAATGCATAAATTTCAAAATGATTTGTTCAAATAAGTCATCATTTTGTGAACGAATCGCACTTCAAATAGTTATATAATATATATAGCGTATAAAAGCTTGGAATACTATTTTTTTTTTTTATTAAAATTGATCTTTTAAGATTACACTTCAAATCTTGTATTTATTTATTTTAGATCGGTAAAATGTACGCTTCAAATCTTAATAGTATCGAAGATGGTTAAGTGGGCTCAATATGATCTTTTTCTTAAGATCGCTCATGAAAAGTCCATATAAGAAGCATCGAGGCCACAATTTTGGAGAGATCAACCATTAACATGACTGATATTTACATCGGCCCGAAAAGATAGAACCGGCCCATTTAAGGTTATAGTCTACACAGTAGGACAGGTGTAAACCTAGGAAGAACCGAGCAATGCATAGAAACTCTGGCAAAGACACTTGGCATACACGTGTCAACAAACCTTATTATGTCAATATGGTAATTTGAGTCAAATTTTTGGGCTATTTTTGACTTTATGTACCTCTTGTGGGCCCATCCTTCATCTCCAATAGTGAGAATAGCTTGCTTGCAGTTCTGCTATACACCATTCTTGAGAGGCAATCTTCTCTCTTAGTTTCTCTCTCTACATACACATACAACTTTATGTATCTATGCATGCATGTTGCATGTAAGTTCAAAGGTTCACTAGTATTGTATAACAGTTTATTTATGGTTTATTTTTTCAATTTTTTGTTATTATTTTCCCTTTTTTTCCTTGATGATTGCAGAATTTTTAGGGTTTCGTCAACCAGCTTGATGAATACTATGATGAACAGGTATTTTTCCTGAGTTTCAACATCCACACTATGTTTAAAAGACATTTTTTAACTGCTTTTTTACATGGAGACTGAAAATTTGCTAAAAAATCAACTTTTAAGCATGGTTACTTATTTCTTCCCTACTTAATTGTACTTTGTGCCTTGGTGGTTGCATTTTAAAACATGCTTTTATGAGGTGGTTCTAATTTACTTATTTATTCAATTAATTATCTCCTCCCTACTTAATTTTGATGATGTTTGGGATTTTTGACTTAATTAATATAATTTTTAAGTTCTCTTACTTATGTAGTAATAATAAAACTAAGCTAACTTAATAATGATAGTTTAGGAATGATTTGTGTGTGTATAATATAAATGACAAAATAGATTTTGAAATTTATTACCATTCTTTAAAAAGAATACTGTTATTTGTTAATAATCTCACAACTAGTGATACCATTAAAAATTGCTTCCTAATTTATCAGCCATATGAAGTTTTTACAATAACAAAAAGAAAAACCATTCCGGCGATATTTCCGATGGGATTGTGAATTGATCTATTGATTCATCGATTATTGATGGTTCTAGAATCACTAAGCTTACGTCACTTGCAAGATTATTAGGTCTTGTGACAATTATCTCCTAGAAACATTTTTTTGCCCTACTTCACTTTTTGGGAAAATTTACGGGGGAAAGGAATACCCCCCGTAGTTTTTTGGATAGATTGGGAGTCGTTCGGAGGTTGGTGATTGCAGTTGTTGGTGGTGGATATTGATTGCAATTGTAAGTGGTGCAGGTTTAGGCACCTGTTTCGACGACACGTGGTGGAGGTTTTGGTGGAAGCGATAAAGATGATTAATTCTTTTCTATATTTTTTCGTCTTTTGGTTTATTTTATTTTTTTCTTTTCCTATTTTATATTCATTTTTAGTTTTATAGTTTATTTAAGTTAAAATTATGCTTTTACCAAAAATTTGGATGAAAATTGTCTAGAGGGACGATCTACATAAATTACTGCAAGACTAGGGATGATATATCCTATTAAAATTTAATGTGGATAAAATTGAGACAAAGTGAAAGGTTGGGAACTTGTAATTTATCGAAAATATAAATACTGGAAGATTGACCAATTCGTTAGAGGGTCACATCAACCCCACCCATTCCACCCCACCCCATTTTGCCACATGATCGTCAACTACATATGAAGATAATCAATCCTCAAATTGTTGATCGATAGTAGAAAGGATTACAGGTTCCAACAGTGGTGTTATCCCCTGCTTGCGACCGACATTTAGGGGTTGTGACCTTGAATAGACGAACATATGACATCAGGTCTGGCCTCAAGGAAGGTAGAATAGTCGCATACTTGACACCTAGGAGATACGCACGCAGACCATACATCTTACCTGTTAGACCTAACTTGCATTTAGTGCAAATAATAGACATGTTTGGCCTACAGGTCGATAGACTGCTAAATAGTTCGATAACATGATTGAGGCAAGTTAGTATAAATTTTACTGTATGGTGTTCATTATCATTGTATAGACATTACATAAACAGAGACGAGTCTTTAATATATAGTTTCTTAACATGAGAATTATATTATATTATTATTCTCAATAAGAATGCAGTATATATCATATTGGAAAAATTGATAATCAATTACAGTTTTAAAGAATTTCCTTTCGCCTTGACCACTGCAGGTACTGATACAGTGCAGCAGCGTCTTAACCAAGCAACTAGCAAGCGTAACCTGAAGAAGAATTTGATACCAAAATCTCAAGATGGTCATAGAGGACCCGGCTATCATATCTCAAGAAGAGGTTGAGTCAACTTTGCAACCACACCAACAGCCCAAGATTCAGACTTCTAAGTCAATAGGCCAACAGTCATCCATATACTCGCTTACCCTCGATGAGTTTCAACAGAATCTTAGTGAGAAGGGCAGAAACTTTGGCTCGATGAATATGGATGAGTTTCTCAATAGCATATGGACTGCTGAAGAAAATCAAGCTACAAACACCCAAGCAACAATTGCCACAGCCAATGGTAACAATATCAATGGGAAACAGAATCTCTTGCAAGAAAGTAATGCTTCAATGGCTAAGGGTATACCCAAGCAGTCAAACTTATCCAGACAAGGTTCGCTTAGTATTCCCGAGCCTCTGTGTCAGAAAACAGTGGATGAAGTATGGTCTGATATTCACAAAGATCAGCGCCAACATATTAACGACACTCATGTTCAGAATCCTCGTAGTACTCAGAGACAGCGGACATTTGGGGAGATGACACTGGAAGATTTCTTGGTTAAAGCAGGGGTTGTAAGGGAACAGAATCACCCCCAGGTGCAACCTCAACACCAGCAATATGGAATGTATCCAAACAGAGATTATGCTGTGCCGTCTAATTTTGTCGCCCCACCTGGAATGGGGATGGGAGGAGGCAATATTGGTGGTAATGCCAATGATGCTAATGTTGCTACATATCATGCTCTTCCGCAAAGTGGCGTTGGAGATCCACCAGGTTACCCTGGAGGAATGAAAAAGGGTGTTAGGTATGCACATCAACCATTGATAGTCTATGGCGGGAGAACAGGAAATAGCAGTGCCGGAGGATATGAGCAAGTGCAGGGATTGGAAATGGGATCCCCAATAAGTCCACTGTCCTCGGATAGATTGTGCACAAACCAGGTGGAGAACAGTAATCATCATGGTTCGAATACGAGTGGGAATAAAGGAGGGAGGAAGCGAAACGCAGATGGTCAGGTTGAGAGGGTTGTGGAGAGGCGACAACGAAGGATGATCAAGAATAGAGAGTCAGCTGCGCGATCTAGAGCCAGGAAGCAGGTATTCCATTTTCTTCTTATAGTGTTCAGGATCAAAATACGTAGTAATATTGCAGTTAAAACAAACTTTGCTGGATATTGGATTTGATTTTGAAGATTTTGGAACCAGATAAAGCTTATGATTCGATTTTTGGCAACTCATAATTTTCAACATCAACGTTGTTTGGCAGGCTTACACTGTTGAACTTGAAGCAGAATTAAAACAGTTAAAAGAAGAGAATGAACACCTACAACAGGCTCTGGTAATTATAGAAATGTTACTAGTGAATATTTTTAGATATAGAATTCTGTTAGTCCTAGCTGTTGTTCTTGGTTTGTCTTCAATTACCTAAATGTCGTTCTTCGTGATGTTGGCACGTGTTGTTTGTAACACTCTTATATTCCTTTGACTTGAAACAGGCCAAACTAGAGAGGAAAAGAAAACAGCAGGTAAATCATGCCAAATTCTAGTCTTTTCCCTATTTTACCAGGGATTATATCTAGTACCATATTAGTAGTTCACATGATAAAAATTGACTACATTGTACACCGAAGATCAGCATATACATTACCAACTAAAAAAGAATGTGAATCCCAATCTTACAAACTGGCAAATGTAATGAATTTTGACGTTGCAGAGATGTGTGTCAACATGCATTTTCTACATGTTTGGTACATAGTATTAGAAAGGATTGAATAGTATTTAGGAAGAAAAATAACTAAAAATCATGTATATTACTCTTCAGTTCTATCAGGTGCTGTAATGAAACATGCTTTTAATGGTTAATTACTTGGGCTAATGTAGAGTCACACTCCTAGATATGATTATATAGACTTTACTTTTCGATTATATGTTCTTGTGCTTCTGTATTCTTTGGACACAGAACTTTGAGGAAGCAAGAATGAAGGTGCAGGCACAGACCAAGGCCCAGAAAACAAACGAGAAACTGAGAGTGATGAGACGATGCCTGAGTTGCTCTTATTGAAGTCGAGGATTGGCCTGTCAGAAGCCATTTTTCTGAGGACTGGGAAGAGGGGATAGGAAAGCAAAATCAGTAGTAGGGGATATTTGCTGGATTTAGCTTATACAGTATATGTTTGTTTTATTATTTTGAAAGTGTAATAATCTAGTCATGCTAGTCTTTTCGCAGAAGTCGTAAAGCTATATACTCTTCTGTATACCTATATAATTTATATATGGACATAAGGTCATATTTCGTGTTTCTGCAGGATTTTTTACTCCAAATAGTCATAAATCAACGGCTGATGGTGAAATGCAGTATCATATGTATTAATGAAGTCCAAATATCTCTTCATTTGTAGCATAATGAATAAGTTTTCTAGAAGCATTAACTATCCAATAGCATGATACAATTACATGCAACACAACTGCAATTATTTTTTATATTATACAAAATACTTTGCATACATAAGATCAAAGATCGAAACAAATAAACTAGGAAAAAAAAACATGCTTATGAAAAGAAAAATACAATCTACGCCATCAAGGGAACAAGATTCCAGGGACCCTTTCTTCTACAGTGACCCAAATATTCCAATTTGTAGAAAGTATCACTCTCTCTATGATTCTAGACATTTTTGATACACAGTACTCGACAATATAATGCTACATCTTAGCTTTATCGTCTTCTGTAATACTACCTAGTACTTTTCAATTCGATGTGTCACAGAGCTTAGAGGAATAAGGCTATCATAGTAAAGACATGGCTTATTGAAATTCTTCATGGCTCTGCAGTATTCAACCCGTCTACAGGTTTGATTCTTGACACTAAAACAAATGAGCCCTCTTTGCTCCACATGGATCAATAGTTCTTCACCCTGATTATCACAAGGAATCAAAAACATAACATTTAAGGGGGAGAGACTAATACTATATTCCAACACCCAAATCTTCTTCTCATCCTTCAGCAACCATATATCCAGGGCAGATGTTCCTGCTGAACACCCCACCAAAGATAAACACCCCTTAATCCCTGTATATTCCAAGAAAATGTACTTTTCAGAATCAAATGGTTCTTCACCCTGATTATCACAAGGAATCAAAAACATAACATTTAAGGGGGAGAGACTAATACTATATTCCAACACCCAAATCTTCTTCTCATCCTTCAGCAACCATATATCCAGGGCAGATGTTCCTGCTGAACACCCCACCAAAGATAAACACCCCTTAATCCCTGTATATTCCAAGAAAATGTACTTTTCAGAATCAAATGCGGGATAAGAAATAACGTTAAATTCTTCGTTCTCCAAGTTGAATGAGAGAATAGACTTGTCGTTCCACGAAGTAGCAATTAGTCCCCAATATATAGCTTTATTCAGGCATAGAGGGTGACCATCAATCCAGGCACTACAAGGATAATCTCCAAGTGTTCTCCAAAAGCCAGAGTGGACTCCCTCACCATGTTTAAAACTAAAAATCTCGCAACCAATTTTTCCGTCTCCAACAAAGGAATGGTACAACAAATGCACAATTTTAAACTCGTTCGACTTGGGAAGGTGTCCAAATCCTACGTTGTATAGACGAGCATTAGACGGATATGGGACTCGAACAACTTGATGAATACTAGGATTGCAAACATAAAGCGAGTACATGCAGCATAAAACACTGAAAGGATAGCAAGAAATGAATGTATGAACAGGTCCATCAAGTACTTCCCTGAATTCATCTGTTATATTTCCCTCCGTGTCTATTGAGGTCAATTCAATAGTGACTTTGCTTCTATCCGGTTCCCCATTTGCATCCGAAATATATTTCCGGATCAATAATAGAGGTTTTAGCTTGGACAATTCTGAGTGACGCGTCATCAAGTCCCTGTCATTAGTTAATAAATTGTACCATCGTTTTGAGACGCACCTGAACTTGCAGAGAACCTTAGCAGGAAGTCTTGAGAGTATTTCAATGATCAAATCACGAGGAAAGTCGTCAATTCCTTTCATTTTCCACCCTATAACTCTTTCCTTCTTTGTCTATCTTCTGGTTTTAGATTGTTATATTGATCAACTGTTGGACCGACTCATCGATATCTCTATACAGGTAGCAGAGGACTCTCTGTTTCTGCAGAGAAAGTCATTTGAAGCTTCAAATTGATTAAATTGAAGGGAAGATACCACATAATTACTTCATCAGTGTTTAAATAAACAGGTTGCTGGAGCGGCGGCAGTGGACTTTCAAAGAATGGCATGATGCTTCCTTTAAATACGATGAATGCTTGCAAACTTCAGAGCAGGTAACGTATGCGATTATTCGGAATATATGAATTTGTCAAAAGGGAGAATTGTTTGTTTATTCTTTTTTTCTAATCTAACCACCAATCAACCGAATTGGTCAAAACCATTCCAACAAGAAAAGATGAACCATGTAAATGTCAAAACCATTCCAACAAGAAAAGATGAACCATGTAAATGTCAAAACCATTCCAACAAGAAAAGATGAACCATGTAAATGTCAAAACCATTCCAACAAGAAAAGATGAACCATGTAAATGTCAAAACCATTCCAACAAGAAAAGATGAA